ATATATATATATATATATATATATGGTGTATGAATAGAAGTGACAAACGAAACACGGATGTTCTTTAATTTGAATTTTCTTCTTGACTAAAGAATAATTTTATTAACAAAAGTACTGCTAACATGCTGCTAATCAAACAATAAAATATGTTCCATTTGTGTAATCTAATTAAAAATGGATAGGAAAATAGCAAATTTATTAGTCTATATTTTAAACATCGATGTTTTGAACATCAATATTTTGTTGATGCTTTCAGGGACATTGATAACCCTTTAGTGATGAATCGATGTTTTAGTAATATTTGTCATCACTATAAGTGCTTCATTTCATAATGCTATTCCTAATAACACGATTGGGTACGTTTTATGTACGGTAAGAAGACTATAACATATGACTTCCAACATAGCATAATACAAAACATTTTTAATATAAATGGAGAAAAAACAATAGTGGTATCAATGTATACATGGTTTTGTGAAATGGAAGACTATAATATTCCGAGGAATGAAAGTGTTTTAAGTGACTAAATTATAATAACTTACCCATGTTAGTGCCAAAGACACTACTGAAGGTAAATGAATTGTAGCGTCTTCATATTTACATCAATCTCGTAGTGCACGTGTTATTTTATCTCTTGCGTAATAAGTAACGTGTTCTATCTCTTGCGCAACTTTGCACATGCTTTTCTTATCTATAACGCAATATTAAAATAATTTGGGGACATGTTATTTCTTATTGATTGAAATTACGTTTAACACAGTTCTTCAATGCATGAGTATTTGGAGTTGAAAATAATGCGGTCTATACATCCAAATCAGACCTCAACGCGTGACTATTTTGGGATAAAAATAATGTGGTATATAATCCTAGATATGAATTAGACCTCAATGCGTATTTTGGAATACAAATACAGGGAATGTAATAAAAAATTGACATATTACGATCAATGAGGATCTGGATCACACCTCCTCGCACCTCAATGCGTCAGTATTCTGGGATGACAATAATGTGGTTTATGTATATATTAGACCTCAACACACCTCAATGCGTATTATCAATATATGTGAGAATTTGGGATAAAGTATGAAAATACAGGGGATTTAATACAAAAAATGGAAATTGAAATATTACGGTCTATGAGGATCTGGTTCTGATCTTCAACACTTCAACACGTAAAAAACGAAAGTATTTCTGGACAAAACTATGAAGATATAAGGTATTTCTGGTAAATATTGGAATTTTAATAAACTTGTAATACAAAAAATGGAAATATTGAAATGTTACTTTTTAGGGAAATCTGGTCTAGAACACCCTTTTATACACTACTTAACTGTTTTGCAATTTTCGAAAAGAGTTCGCTGAAAGTGCGACTGGAACCATATTTTTACCTTCAGAAAACAATTTCATTGAGGAAAAACTCTCTATCATCAATATTTTAGTTGTAGGAATACGGCTCCAAAAATCTCGGCTCTTTTGCAACTTTGGAAAAATCTTTCGAAAAATCTTAAAAAAGATTTTATCCTCAAAATCAAAATATCGTTTTGAAAGTTTCTAGTTTGTTCAGATCGATCTGGGAATCTCAATTTTGGAGAAAATCGGCTAAGCGGTTTAGTTTAGGCTCTAGCGTTGACCATAAACGGACGGACGCGCGTTGACTAGACAGACAGTTACGTTTTGCTGTCAATCGATTTTTCGTTATCAAGGGCTCACAAATCATGGATTCTGGGTACACCATTGGTAGAGGAAGCAATTTAGTATACGTAGGAACAGGATTTACCAGCATTTTCGTTACCAGGATCTGACAACTAGTTTTTCTGTCAAAAATTCGCCGTTTTCCGGCGCTTGGCTTTTTACGTTCACAAGGGCGAGAAAATAAAAATTAGCTTTCACAATAGCTTCCAAATGCCTCGAAGTTGGACTCGATAAACATTTATAGAATGCATTTTCGACCAATCTTGGCACTGATAACATATGTCAGACTTGAGTATTTGGTTTATTAATTAAAATACTATGTTTTTTCAAAATGATGTTTTTAAAGAGAACGCTCAATATGGAAGATTAAAGAGGAAATGGACTATAATATTAAGAATGATGGTTATTCTAATGAAAGAGTATTAGTGATTTCCTGTGACATGTTACGCCCAAGCCAGCGCGGTCGACTCGCTTACTGTGTAGTTGTAGAGTGCGATGCACTTGCAGGGGTGGTCCGCGCTGGGAGGCGCCGTGACCACTGTTTGCAAGGAGTCGGTGTTGGCATCGGGCGCCGCCGACACCTCGCTGTCATCGGGCCCCCAGTCCACTTGCGTGGGGTCGTCCCAGCCGGCGGTCAGCTGCTCCAGCCGCTGCCGCTCCTGCTCCACCATCGCTGAAACGGAGCGGCCGCCCTGGCATATTTCTGTCGGATCTTTTACATGGTTTCTCACACACTAAAATCCGTCTTTTGTTGAAAATTCGGAAGGAAACATGTCGCGCTTACGTGTGGTAGCGCCTAAGTCAGCCCGTATCTCTTCTCTAACACGATCCTCACGAACTTTCAATGTCTGACGCTCTTTGATCCCAAGAATATTCTTTTGACACAGTACATTCAAACATCGCATATATAGACTTCCTAATAATAATGACTAAGAATACATTTTTAAGTTAAGTTCATACTATTCACTTCATTCTGTGCAAATATGAGTTTGTTTAAATAAAAATGAATATTTTGGGGAAACCTGAAGACATGTAATTGAATGAACATATAAATTACCGAGCAGATAACAGTTTAGCACAAACTCTCAAAGAAATATGTGTTAACATGCTAAGATGCGTTGTGCTTTTTCGCCGCCCATAAACTCACCTCATGCTTTTGTGTAATTTTTGTAGGATTGATTTCACCTCACGTGTTTCAGTTTATCGCTCATCGTGTGTAATTAATCACGATTGAACTCGGAATATAATGACGATTACTACGCATCTGCTTTCCAAGAGAATATATAAAATGGATTAAGTTAGCAGCATAAGTACAAACCTCGCATGAATATACGGGGTTTAAACTTATGACGTTGCAATAGATGCAGTAACTTTCCGCTGAAAATTATTTGAAAGTCGGGAACTTCGTTGCGACTTAACTTTTCGGAATTGTAGCTCCCGATTGGGTATCAACGCTCCCCTCTCCTTTCAGCTCGTGACCTTGATGGGACACTATGTTCAAATCGAGGTATACAACTCCTAATCTGGCTGGGAGAGGGGAGGGGAAGTGAAGGTTCATTAGTTAGCTGATACGAGGTTGGTTGAAAAATCCCCAACCTGCCACAAAAGAAAGCTACATCCACGCGGGGCTCACACCGCAACGTACTTAACAAGTGAATGATTTTACTGAAGATTTCTGCACTGTAAAAACGAGTTTCCCCAATTGCTCCGTGTTTACAACAGAGACAGTTTCACCCCCTTGATGATGTGTTTAACCTCATTTATTATCGAATTAAGTGTGTGTAGCTTACTCACGTAAACAAGTTAAAACACATACAGCAAACTTTCGATTATCCTAGATCTTTAAATTTCTTTTCATTTGTGATAATACAATACGGTATTAAATGAAAATCTAAAAATGGGAGAATAAGTAATATAATTACGATTTTAAACGAACAATGTAACAATACGAAAACGCCAAAGAATTTAGGGAAATGAAAATCACAATGATAAAGAACGTTTTAGCTAGATATGGGAAGGAGAAAATGGGGGAAAAGAGTCAGAAACGTATGCCGAAGCTATTTTTAGAAATCTTACTTTCTGTCTGAACCATCAGAAATGTGCCAAGTTATTTTATATGTGAGAAAGGGTATACTCCGCTTAATTTGAAGGATAAAGACAATTATCCGAATTGACGGCAGAACACAATCATGAAAATACAAAATTCTCCACGGTAGATTCCTCATTTCCTGGAAAATGCGGTTAAAGAGGCCTCGATGCGTTGGCTTCGGGATGGGTTTCTTTTGGGGAGACTGAAGAATTTATCTATGCCATCAAAGTTCAGGTGAATGCTACCACGAAATACAAAAAATACATTGAAAAACATACGTCCGAGATGAATGTATGGTTTGCCATCAAGCACCAGACATAATAGACCACATAATAACGTCATACACAAACTTGACAAACACAAAATATGTAAGCCAGCACAATCTAAAAGCAAATATCATCCATAAAGCCCTAGCAGTGAAATAGGTTTAATAACGCCTGACACCATATGATCATACTATATGTATCAAACCAAGCGAGTATTGGAAAACAAAAGCAGCTAATAGACCAGATATTGTATTTCATAATTTCACAGAGAAAAGTGCCTTATATCACGCATCCATCAGATCACAACATTGATAAGGCAGAAAGAGAAAAAAATCACCAAATATACCCCCTTGGTCATAGAATGCAAAGAAATATATCGCCTTAAATCTGTTGAAATTATATAATGTGTTACCACAGCAACTGGTCTGGTCAATTAAGATTTGAAAAAATTAAAAAATTACAATTAAATACGAATGCAATAATCCTGAAAACTCAAAATCTTTCATCTTGGAAACATGTCGAATAGTCCGCACTGTGCTGAAGTTATCATGAGCTATAATTTAGTATGTAATCTGACAAAGTTGGCCCCACACACATAATAAAAACGGATATTGAATCTCCGAGACTTAAGCAAATAATAATAATAATAATAATAATAATAATAATAAGAAGAAGAAGAAGAAGAAGAAGAAGAAGAAGAAGAAGAAGAAGAAGAAGAAGGGCGTGAGAAAGTCTACACCTTGGAACCCTCCATGACTATTCAGATTCTATGGATGCCAACGGACTTCTGCAAAGTCCAACTGGTCAAGAAGAGGACCAGAGGAGCATACCCCTAAACATCTGGGCTCAGCTGGCTCAGGAAGAAGATCAAATCTCATCTACAGAGAAGGTGTATGAGTTCTGCTCTTCTGAGGGCTGTCAGATCTCTAAAAATGATCTGGGCAGATCTTCGTCAATTACAAGATACTGTGTCTTCCATGGAAGAAATATTAATACTTTAAGATAAAGGTTGACGACCAGCTCTCGCAATACCGCACAGATCTTTTGGGAACGTGGAAGCTGTGAGATATGTATTATCTGTGCTGATGAAAAGCGGCGACAAATTCGTTTTAGGTTGCGGTTAGACATCCGGAACAAATAAGGAGGCTTCATCTAGAGGTACTGCAAATATTTATGAAGAATTGGAATATCCTGTAACTGCAAACATTTGGGGAATCGAATCGAACGAATCCTCGCGTAGTGAATCCTATGTAGTGAATTCAAGACAAGCATGCAAAGGACAATATAATTGAATGAGTCTGTGATGCGAGCATTTTACACAACCAAAAGAATCGAGACAATGTAAAGGCTTCAAGAGAAGACTCCTAACTAATTGAAGAAATATCTCTCTGGAAAGCATTATAAACGAGCAGCCAACTGAATTTCATTAGGGGAAGACAAGTGTTTTCAGATGCTGCGTTCCATCTTCTGAGAACGGAAGTTAGACAAGAGATAATGAATGAAGAAGTCGTGAAGTAGCTAGTACAATCAGCGAACGGCTCAGGAAAAAGAAAAGGTTCCAAGAGAACATAATAACAAGCAATGTATTCTAGTTCCCATCACGTAAATTAGTAATGAATTGGTGGACAATTCTCTAAAAATATTTTTTAAAGTTGCATTATCAAGAAATATCATTATAATTAAGACCAAAACTGAAATGCAAGGCCAATGTCTATGAGATTGTTGGCAAAATAGGTCAACATGGCTCAAACACCACAGAAGCCCCGTGGGTTAGAAGTTGCAGCTGTATAATTTCAAATAACCGTTATCAATAATACGAAAAAGAATGTCTTGCTATAGTCCAACTAGTTTCAATATATCAATTGTTTTCGATACTTCTTGAGAGATTTGTCTGAGGTGTGAGAACCAAGAGAAAATTGAGAGTGCATACTGCTGATAGTGCTGTACTGTGCCCTTAGTGTAAAACGCACTGATTTAGTGAAACGAGTGAGGAACTTGATTTCTCAAAAATGAAACAAAATTTCGCGTCTAATTTGTGTCGCTTCGTTTAGTGTTTCCGTAGAGAAATAATACTGGGATAGAAGTTGCAATAGTTTAACAAGTTGCATAACAACAACAGTTTTAATAAGGAAAAGTATGTGCTTTTCAAGAACCACTTGCTTTAATTTTACCTGAGGCTTGTTTGTCTTTTCTCTATTTTCAAATCTCTTAAATGCAAGACTTAAATGAGTATCGAGATTTGTGTCAAATAAATTATTTTTGGTTTTAAAAATATCTACTTAAATGCTTCTTTCTACAGAAGCAGATGTTGGAGGAACTGTAATTACTTTCGGGGCAAATTTCCTGAGTTCTGGTAATCAAACTCTAAATAATGGTATTGCTAGTCATTTACTCCTCATAATTAATCTGTAAACAAAAAGTGATCAAAAGTATCCGAACACGTTCAAAATAGTGTTATGGTGTAGTCGTATTTTGCATGGACGGGGCTTCCACCTCTTGTTGTTTTGTGTGGCACTATCAGGGCACAAGCCTTTGTTGATGTTTTAAACACCTTCTTGCTTCCCACTGTTAAAGAGCGAATCGGGGATGGCGATTGCATCTTTCAACACAATCGAGCACCTGTTCATACTGCACGGCCTATGGCGGAGTGGTTACACGACAATAACATCCCTGTAACGGACTGGCCTGCACAAAGTCCTAACTTGAATCATATCGTATACCTTTAGGATGTTTTGGAACGCCGATTTCGTGCCAGGCCTCACCGACCTACATTGATACTTCTCCTCAGTGCAGCACTCCATGAAGAATGAGCTGCCATTTCCCAAGAAACCTTCCAGCACCTGATTGAAAGAATGCCTGCAAGAGTGGAAGCTGTCATCATGGCTAAGGGAGGGCCATCACACTATTGAATTCCAGCATTACTAAAGTAGGGCGCCATGAACTGGTAAGTCATTTTCAGACACGTGTCCGGATAATTTTGATCACGTAGTGTATATCAGTCTCATAACTTATATTTCAAACATGTTGAGTCAATTATTGAAGCTATTATATATTAAATACTTCACTGAAATCAGCTTCGAACACATTGTCATTGTTAATTTATTTCGTATCATTTCACAAAAACGCTTTTATTTATTTATTTATTTATTGCAGAACTGAACATAGCTGTACATTTTCTTCACAAAAGAGTCGGGGGGAAAATGTTTCAGCCGTGGTAATTCGTGCCCATGCACATATGCCAGGCAAGCACAATATTATGCACTTTGACCTCGGAAGTCGCGCGCGAGTAAATAGAAAGCAAACCTTGGTCGCGTTGATGGGTTAGGATAAAACTCATTCTTGGAGTGGAGACTTGTATTATTATTGCTTGTAGGATTGATCATGTAATTTGCTAATGACGATGTAATCGCAAATTTAGTGTGCTCCTAAATACAAAATAGTAATACTGAATCTTTTTTGTTTGATGATGACAGTAGTATAAAAAATTACTTTTCATTAATTATATTTCATTGATTAAGACGGTTCTATCAAACCTGAAAATACCTTAGTCTTAAAAAATCATGATTACTTTCTGCTCTAATTTCCGACAAGAGTACATTATATATTTCTAATTTAAAATCAACTAACAATATCTATTCATAATCGTTTACATCGTATAAAAAAATCAAGCCAGAATTGCCTATAATGTTTATACTAGTCTGGATATGAGAAACTTCTCTCAATTTGCTATTATAAGAAGATTATAACATTGCTGGTAAAAAATCAATTATCAAATGAAAAATGTTTGTTAGTTGAAATTACATAACGTATATTTAAAGGAAGCAACTGCTTTCAAATATTTTTTATGAGTTACAATGAGCATAAAGTAAAATAAATTTCAAAAATGTCTATACATAGCAGTTCACAGAAGAACAAAAAAACTGAAATAGGGTCCTTGTAATTAGAAACACGGTAGATTGCCCATTAAAAGAAGTGGGCGAATTCATTTCACAGCATGAATCATTGCATTAAATCCCACGGCATTCAATCTACACTCCGCGTTGACCCCTCTCCAGCTTCTCCCCTCCCCCAAAGCTGCACACTCCCTACTTGTATTTTCTGCGCTCTCGCGGGCAGACGGCTGGCTCGTAAGAGCAGAATGTCCACGGGAGCAGGCGTTGTTCATGCCTAACCTACGCAATTTAAGTTCTAATTTATCCGAAAAAAGTGCAGTATTAATACGAATAAAATTTTAGTAAATATATCATGTAATTGTACTTTTGCCTTTATTTTGTTGTTCGGGAATAGGTACACCTTTTATCATATTGTATCAATTTCTTATTGTAAAAGAGTGCAATATTCGTAATAAATGCAATTTTCTTAGCAGACATCAACGTCGTTTATTACACTTGCAGCCCACAACTGCTATTCAAATATTTGCCCTCAGTGTCCTTTAAAGTGTGTATATATATATATATATATATTGGACATATGCAAAAACGTCACAATTTGTTAATAATTGTTTTATAATGAACAGTAAAACCCAACTTCGAAAGGTCAGCTCCTGAACTGTGTGTTACAACATTACAGGCACGGTTCTGTGCGAGAGTAATTATTCTAACATATGTAAGTGTTGATATTAAATATATGTGGAGAATTGTGAGGGTATGCCTTAAGTCAATAAAATATTTTTATTGACCTACCCCGACAAGTCGCCACATATATTTATAATACAAAGTGAAGATCAACATAACAACAGTTGAGAATAAATCGTATAGAAAATCAAGCGGTCTCTTTGATTTTATCGTGAATGATTTGTCGTTTTCCTTTAATTTAATTTTACGTAGATTTCAGGGTTCTGCACATTTCTGACCACTCATAGTATGGAGTGGGAGCACCCAGAAGAAACAAGTCTCCAGAAATGCAAATAGAAAGTTTGAAGAGATCTGTTTGTACAACACAACTTAAAACATCATTGGGCCCCATATGCCCTCTGAAATGGGGAAATCCACATCTTACCCACCTGTCTCTTTTTTCCCTACCGGTCCGCCAACGCTTCTTCAAAACTTGTGACCTCATTTAACTCATCTGACCCTACAAAACTTGTCCCTTGCGGGCACAAAAAACCGTTTTCAGGGAAGAGGACGCGTTGTTCAGAGCTATGCGAGCTATGTGTTGCAGTACTTTGTTGCAAATTTCTGTTGTTGTCTTAAATCTCTTTGATGCACCCCTGGGGGGTAATTCCAGCAGTAATACATCTACGGGGTTGTGACAACGACCTCTTACAAAACTAAACATTATCTTTCATTAGCATAATATAAATAGGTTGAATTAATATTCCTTAAATCAAAACCAAAGATGTTAGGAGTCGGTGTAATATAACACACTACTCCACCTTGTACTACTACGACCTTGTGCTTCTACGAACTGCAGGTAACTCTGTAATACTTGGAGCAAAATATCAGCTGTTCCAAATAACGCAATGTCTTGTACTTACCAGTCCTTTAATGACCTGGGGTTTGAACATGTCCTTACACAGATTTTACGGAACAAATCTCAGAGCTCCGATAATTATTGTGATGACGTGTGTATTTACAATGGCTGATGTCGATTTCCAACCTCTTGTATATAAGGCGTTTCTCTGCCTCCTTGGTTACGACGTTCTGATCGAATAGCACAGCAACATCTGCAAGTAGACACGAGTTTTTCTCCAATTTCCGGATAATAATATCCGGTTTGTTTACTGCTAACGTACAATCAGTATAGACTCGTTCATCGTACAAAATTGTACACGGTCCAAAAGACAGCAGACGTCGTCGGTGGGTATTCATACCACTTAGAGCATATGTTTGGACCTTTGTGGGAGTTACAAATCTGCGAGTGGAATTAACTACAGACATCATCGTGCCGTTTCAAGTACTCCTACTTTACTATGATTGTACATGCTGAGAGGATATGATCGATTGCTCCTATCTCTTCGTGACAAATATGGCTATTTATCAGTCTGAAAAAATTTGAGAATCCGTTTACCGTAATATGATGATCTCACTGCCTGATCGTAGGTAACTCGTCCCATTGGTTCATTCTTCCAATTTTAAACCACATATGTGTTTGTTTTTGTTGTTATGCATCTTCTCGAATCTATTTAGAAATTGTCCATGGAGTGGTTTGTCTCCACGACTCCTTTATTATTATTATTATTATTATTATTATTATTACTATTACTAAGTGTGTTAATGAAATTTTTAATATTATTAAGTTTTAAAATGATGTGAATAGAGTATGATGCTAGTTTACTAAAAAAGCCGTCTCGTTTCCGGTTTTCAGATCAAACCACGGTTTCCGCTTCCACCAGGTTGATAGGTCGCTAAGCAAGGGAAGCCACGCAGCACACACTGAAGACAGGAAGAGAGTTCGGAATGCAGCTCACCCCACTCACCGTCCACCTCGGCCCCCTCGTCCTGGTCGCGCTCCTCGGCGTCGCCGCTGGGCTCGGCGTCCGCGGCCGCCGGCGCCCCCGCCGCCGCCACCGCCGCCTCCGACCCGGCGTCGGCGTCGCTGTCGTAGTAGCCATCGGAGCCCAGCGGCTCCTGCGCAACCACCCGCCTTCACTTACTTCGCCGCACGACGCACAGAGCTCCTGCGCCATGGACCCGCTCAGAATGTGATTAACTACGTAACAAGCAGCTCGTCAGAAGGCAAATTAAACAATTAAATAGTGGAGCTACAACAGCACGCGCTTGTGAGGCGGATGTGAGTGACCTGCAAACTAAGAGTGAATTTGTAATTATTGGTGGTTCAATCGTGAGACATGCACATAAATGTGAAAATGTTCACGTACATGTTTGCCAGGATTAAGAATAGAACAAATTAAAAGGTACGTAGAGAGAAGCAATTTAATTGCAGCAGGTACAGTGATTCTGCATTGCTCATCTAAAAATCAGACATATGGCCGCATTAACAAGATACATTTATGACTTGGTCACTGCAAAACAGAAGAAATTATCACTTGCACAGGTTTTTCTAAGAGGTCTAAGCTTTCTAAGCAGAAAGGATATTGCATGTGCAGTCGCAAGATGAAACAGATCTACTAATGGGCGGCTGAACAGACACTAGTGGTGCTTCAATAGCACATAATTTCTCACATTTGTAAGTGATATCCTATAATATACAACATAAACCTGCCATTACTTAAAAGACTCTTCATGTTGGGCACTTATTACTAATATTATTATTGATATTGTTGACATTATTGTTATTATTCCCCCCAACATTTGAGTTAAGATGTTAGATGTTGGTGAAATATACATCTACGACAGATTGGATTCAACTTTCAAAGGAGCAGACCTGGTGACTGTCAGTGCCTTTACAACGCTTTGTGCAAAATATGGACTGTTCTAACTAACGCTCCGTGTTGTACTTCCCGATCTTTTGATTGACCTCGGAGATTAGGCAAGTTCTCATATCGAATGTGCGGAACAAATATCAGAGCGCCAATTACTGTGATTTTACTGGTACGTCCAGATCCAGCTGATCTCAACTTCCAAACTCTTGAATTTAAGAAGTTTCACTTCACGCCTTATTTCTTACATCGCATGTCACAGCAACATCTACAAGTCGACATGATTTTTTTCTCCAAATTCCGAATAACTACATCCGGTTGATTGGTCCAAGAAAGGTGCAAACGGTTCATATATGTTGGACCTACAGTATTGTACTCTGTCAACTGACAACCGGGTTTGGTTAATGTTCGTACTATTTGAAGTATGTGTTTGAGTCATGGAGGTCGTTACTGTTCTTCAGTATTTGTTACAATTGGGCATGCTGAGATGATATGGTCAGAAATTTCTACATTTTCCTAAAAAATACCGCATTTATCTTCCTGGAAAATTTTGAGAACAGTTTCATTATAATGTGTTCTCAATTCCTAAGTAGATATTATAACTGCTTCCGATTCGTTCTTCCCCTTTAAGGTGACATAAATGACAGCTATTTATTGATCTGTAAATTTTCCAATATTTTCAAATACTGTGCATGCACTTCACCATGCACCATGTCTCTCCATGATTATCTTCTTGTCAACCTCTCGATGTTTTCTTCAACAATTTTTGTGCCTCATATTTGATGTCAAGTAGCATCAACTTTTGACTACGTTATTCTGCGTGTCTTTCATTCTAGTCTGCACGTACCAAATGTGATCAGTTTTAGCTCTTGCGTTTTTTTTCTTTTCGGCGGTTCAATACCGTGAATAGAATGCAAGATACGTAGATTTACGAGGAGGGCTAGTGATACCACAGATAAACGTACGACTTCAGTGGAGCTCCCGAGGTAGCCCTGTTGGCCCTCATGCTGATTACACCGACCCGGCTGATTACTTCGGCGAGCGGGCGTCAGCCCCTCGCAGAGACGGCAACTGAGAAGCCGTCCCGCAGACATTCTACATAATGGTCAAGGGCGCCCAGGAATCGCCATCAAGAGGCCGAGGGTGGAACGACAGCACATACAGCGTAGCGAGAGTTTTGAATTCCAGCACGGGACGAGAATCTGTGATTTCTCTGTCGTCCCTACGCACAGCATTAGAGCTCAATCGCAACGTTCTGGAGGAACATACGCACGCAGAGTGTATCCCATGTAATGATATATTCCGACAACAGCAAAGGCACTTAGAGGAGCAGAAGGAAGAAGTCCTACCGACGGTGTTCGATGCAATACTAAACCAGACGCAATAGGCCGCCCGAAGGAAGAATATGGCTATCAAAAGCGGACAAACCCAACTCAAGGAGACATTGTACACAAGAGTCGAAACCCCAGGAAGCGTATGGAAGAAATACTGGAAGAGGAAAAGAATAAGGTCGCATAAAATCAAGACACAAAGCAACACTGCAGCGCTCCAAACTGGAGAGAAGCTATTCTCAGATGACGAGGAGCCCGCCCAGGAGGGATCCACACAAAAGACCTGGAAGAGTGAAAGCACTGGACTCCAGTGAAAGAAAAGAAGAAACGGGCTCGTTCAAACCCTCAGTGAACGTAGACGTAATTCCATAGACGGGAAAAATGTGAAAGTGAGGTCGAGCGCTGTGAGAGACAAACGCAGAAATCCAAGAGGAAATGCAGAAATCATACGACAGGCCTAGGGGAACACATGTGCCGAGTTTTTCGGGGAAATCAGGAAGACGAGAAGCCCGGAAGACAGCCAAGCGGGGATCACATCTGTCAGAACGACGAGAGCCGGTGACACGCTATGCGACCGGAGCGCGAAGTCAAAGCGCCCACAAGACCGGCAATACCGCGAGGCAGACGCTAGGTCAAGCAGGCGGCTTCCACCAACTGACAAGGGGTGAGCGAGTGATGAGTCACACGGGAGTTTCCCGACGCTACAGGGGCTGAGGATACAAGCTCTTCTCAAGAGACTGCACAGGCCCAGATCACAGTGTTACCTGCTACAGATGCTGCGAGAAAGGACACGAGGCCCTCACGTGCTCCGTGGAATCCGAAATTAATATTACGCACGGTCCAAGGACTCGCACAAGAGAGGGTGCAGCACTTTTCGGGCTCTGAATGCCGAGTCTTCAAACAGGCTTTTAAAACAACCAAATGGTGATACAAAATCCTACATGTAAACGCCCAGAGAAGATGAACAGTTTACTACCCAGCTGGCCATTAAACAAGAGGTCGTAATAGAAATCACAATATTCAACAGCATTTTTGTAACAAAGAATGTGAATGGTGTTCTTCACCATGACAGGATGGTACTACTACTATGGTACTGACACACGAGACACCGCAACCGTATGGTTCATTGGCACTGGTAAAATTCCGAAGAAAAGTACAGATTCTTTTGTACAATGTCTTTGTAGGAAATAGTTCGGCGACCTTTTGTGAGCTGCCTTCTGACCCCAATGAAGGGATAGATGAGCAGGAAAGTTGACGATATTGCTAGTATGATACGAGAGACAGATGGAAAGCCCTTGGTTGGTAGCTGACGCCAAAGCGCTGGAGTCGCGTCGACAAACACCAGGGGAAGGCATTTATTGAAATGGTAACAGCTAGGAACTGTTGGTTGTAAACGATGGGTCGACGTCAATATCCAGACGGCCTAACACGTGAAAACTATTCGGGATGTCGCTCTGGTGGATGGCTGTCGACGCATATGTTAACGAGTCGGAGGCACTCTGTGAAACACTTGGGATTCTCATTAGACCCCCATTCACTTTTGGTGAACTTTGAAGACTTCACATAAAGCCTGAGAAACGACTGAGGTGCTGAGCAAGCATAAGGCAGATTTCTGGCCAAGATCAATCAAACGGCGACTACATATTTCTGATACTCACTATCTTATTGCACGGATAGTAGACATGGGCAGATGCTTTCTCAAGGGAATATCCCAGACGGCAGTTAAGTGCAGTGCAAAGCAGAGGGGCACTCTGAATTGCTTGCTCCTAGAGTTCCATTTCCGAACCAACAGTGTTAGTAGTCGCTGTAATCATATTCATCTACTTGCTTCCACAGGAAAGGCAACTCATCTACCAGACGGAGACACAACTGGAAAACCGATGAGCACAAAAGAAGCCAAAGCCTCACCAAACACTGATAGCCACACTCGTTTCGCAGATACCAACGTGGACTGGACGCTAAGACGGCTAATTCTTTTACTACGTGAGATATTTCTTAACTGAACTCGGATATTTCCGTAAATATCTTGCAAGCTTTTGAATTACCTGGGTGTTTAGCCAAGTTCTTACACAAATTTTGCGGAACAAATCCCAGAGTTCCGATAACTAATGGGACGACCTGTGCTTTTACACCTCTTATTCGTCTGATATTGATTTTCAAACTCTTGTATTTAAGACGTTTCTCAGCCTCCTTTGTTACGAGGTTTGTATCGCAAGGTAGATCAACATCTACAAGTAGACACGATTTTTGTCTCCAAATCCCGAATAGCAATATCCGGTTTGTTTGCCGCTACGCGCGTTCAGTTTTAATTTGTTGGTCGTATAGTATTGTACAGTCCAACAGACGTCACCAGTTTTAGTGAGTGTTCATACCGCTGGGACCATGTGTTTGGAACTTGGAGGGCGATACAGGTCTACCAGTGGAGGTAACTACTCACCCTGTCGTGTCTTTTCAAGAATTCGGTCTTTGATAGAATTGGACAAACAGAGGCAACATGATCAATGGTTTCTACCTGTTCTTTGCAAATGCGGCATTTATCATCTTGGAAAATGTTGAGGACTGCTTTATCGTAATAACATGTTCTCAACGCCTGATTTTGGTCAACTATTACAACTGCTTGCGATTCTGGCTGAATCGGCCTTTTAGCCACATAAATGATTGATCTTCATTGATCTACACTTTGTTCATTCATTTTATATATAGTCCATGGGGTGGTTTGTATCTCCACAATGTCTTTAGAATATTTTGTGTCTCACATTACATGTAAACTAGCATCAGAAGTTCAATGGCTGTGTTTTTCTTCGTGTCTTGCATATTTTTCTTCACAAATCTTCTTAATACACTTACAACTCCTCTGGTTTCCATTCTTCGATTCTTTTTAATAATCTGCCTCATTAGTGGGTCATATTGATGGCTGACTACTATTATTTCTATCCCCTTTTGCATTGTGACAGGAGTCTTAAATTTGTCTGAGGCATCTTCCTTCTTCCTTACGTGACACAAAGTCAATGTACATCAGTTTGAGAGTGAGCGACATGATGCATTGTAAGCAAGTTTCTGTTTTTTCGTTCCATAATTCGAATTTCTTGCTCAGACCAGTCCACTAGTCTGAAACAATATTCATCTAGAGGCAGCCCCAAACTACCTAATGGAAATATTTTATTCCCGGAGTTCAGAGCGGACTGCAAGACAAGTATCACTCTTCTGTAATACTCCCTGAAAATTCTCTCTTTCACTGTGTCGTTCGAGAATTTCTCACATTATTCAATGCCCAGATGTTTGCAAGCTTTTCCTGGCTCAAGATCTTGAATCACAATGTGCATATCAACTTCAAAGTTCTCTGACGTTGTGGCGGTGATGTCTGGGGTAGCAAATAAGTGATGCCACGTGAGAGCCATTCTGGTACTTTCTTCGGAGTTTTCTAAAGTTTTTAATTAACTACCTTTGCTAGATGAGAATGTAACGCTGTTAATTTCTTAATCCAAAAGTTCTGAATCTTATCCCCGCAAATTTCCAATTTTCTATGTTCTTAATTGATTGGAAGAGGCCATCTTCCGAGAATGCCTGAACATGTTCCACTGTCTCCACAAGTGCATCGACAGCATCACCTTCAGTTTGAAGGCAAGTTGCTACCTTACTGTAGGATCTGCTTTCTTTCCAAATTCCTGCCCAAAATGGTTCAACGTCGCCTTTTGAAGGAGGGACAGCATTGCCATTCATTCGTCTGTGTTTGCGTTTGTAGATTAGTTTTTACATTATTCAAATTCAACAGTGTTGTTTTTCGGTTAATGAATGTTACAATGTGATGGACTATACTTCCATTCGCTTTTTCTTGAAAGCTTCTCCTTTCTTTCTTTTATACCGGCGCAGTCTCCTCAGTGGTTGGTGAAGGAGATTGACAATATCTGTGACACAATATCTGCCTACAAAAGACCTAGGCAGCTGGAATCTCTTAACTGCGCTTTTAGGATGGTGACACCTAAATCTGGTACTCATTACTCTGATGATACCAAAGCTAAAGCATAGGTATTTAATAGCTTTAATTTTTCTGCCAGCACTGAGTTTAGTTTTCAGAATTTTATCAGAGGGGTATTCAATTCCTGGGTAATATTAGATTTAGTAATTTTTTGGTCAACATTACTCGTAGACCTGCAAATATCCAAGATATTTATTATTATTATTATTATTATTATTATTATTATTATTATTATTATTATTATTATTATTAACATCATCATCTTGATTTCTGACAGAACGGTATTTCGGTACTTCGGGAACAAAATTTTAAAAAGCAGAGGGCTTCGCAATATCGATTTTCAGTTCGACCAACTTTAGTTAACTGAAAACATTACTTTATCATGTTTACGAATGTACTAAACTTATTAGTAAAAACAACGAAATATTAAAAACTTATTTATTTCTTACTGTTATCATTACATTCACATAGACCTAATGCTACAACTTTTACTAATTTTTATTAATTATGATTCATAATTATTCAACATTATAAATATATAGCTATTTCTATGAAATTAATTTTTGATTTGGGGCTCTTTCCGAGATCTAACATTTTATAAATCTCGCAGTATTATTATTATTATTATTATTATTATTATTATTATTATTATGAGTTAATTATTTCGTAACTTTAGGTGCAACTTACCCCGGTGCCTGAAGCATCCGTACGTACAGACAGCGAACTAGCCGAGCGAGGTAGATCTTGAACACTAAGATTGTCCGCTTCCTGCATCCACTCATCCACATTGACTGAAACACACACAAAAAAATTATCTCCCAGGTGGTGATACATTTCGTTAGAAATTATTTACTTCATAAACGGCCAGTGGCTATTTGAGGACACCGAGTTTATGAGGTTTGTGCAGGAATAATGTATTAACTTTTTAATTATTTCTTATGTGACTGCAGAGATTTTGTGTAAATCCAAAATTAACGAGAATCAAAGATATGTCAACCACAATTCGTGAAAAGTAATATGTAACAATAAAACATTAGACAGACATGTTTTGGAAATATTTTTTCCATCAAAGACTTCAAAGAAGATATTACCATGTTCCGAAATTGATTCAAATTTGGCGCCTGACCTCAAACAATTATAAGCTCTACTCGGCAAAAATTAAGAGCATGGATCATTCCAAACATCCTGCGCCAAAGATCTTTCAAAATCTAAACAAAAAGTGCTAATTGCACCATTTAATATGACAAGTTACTTTTGCTGTATTATTTTTTTTCAAAAATTACACAAATGTAATTTTTTGAAATCTCTCACGTTTTTAAAATACCCATTCACACTCTCACGCCTTTACTATACACATTTCCAGTCATATGTAAACACTATAGCATTTAAGAGTGGAAGTGCTTGAAATTACGTAATTTGAAGTTTTTCGAAAACTCAATAGTTCTCTATGAAAAAAGGTTCAAATTTCGCATTCCCAGAAACTCTGAAACGCATTGTCTTAAAAACGGCTCCAAATTGTACAACAAAAACTGTCAATTAGCATGAGCTTCTACTCTTCTTTAATATTTTTAAAGTAATAATTCAGTTTTACTACTAGGAAACCAAAGAATTGAAGAATGTTAAAAACATTTACTTTGGCGGTGATAGATGGCTGCTGCAAGAGGATATGGCAAGACAGAATATCCTCACCAAAGAAAATAGAAAACTTATACGAGAAAGTCTGTGCCATTCCATAGCACCACTAGTTTTTTTAATATTCGGTGATATATATTCGGTATATATTATGTTTAGTTTTTAAGTACAGTAAAATATCTAAGCCCGAATCGATCGGGACAAAAATAATTCCGGTTTAGGGAGGTTTTTGTTTTATGCAAGGCTGCTCATTTAACGATACTTGTGATATTATATTTCCGTCATGAAACTAGTTAATTAATTTAAGTAAAGATGTAATTAATGTAATTTAAAAATTACATGATTTTATCGTGATTATTTAAATAGATTTGCATATAACGTATTATTGTAAGAAATCTTCAATAAAGGAATATAAAACATTCTTCATTGACAGAGTTTGTTTCTCTTGCTTCCATAAGTTTTACCTTTCCATCTAATGTTAGAGAATGTTACAGATTAATGGTTTTTGCATTGTTAAACTGGTTGTGAAACTCATAAAAATCACACCATCTCACTAACAGCTGTAATCGGACTGCTTGCTGACTCTTTCAACTCACAATGCGTCACAGACAAGACTATTATGATTTTCTGACACCCCCGCATGGTCTTGAGCAAAGGTCTCTGGCCGAGGGGTTGAGATTTTGAACGCGGGGCAGGGAGAAGCGCGAATAGAAGTTACGCTCATACACCTTCCCACAGTCAGACAGGAGGGGGGATTCTCCTTACGCCTTGAGAGGCAAGTGACCCCAAGGTAATTCTATGCTGTCAGCCGAAGCCCCTTTCCTCCACAGTGCGGATGTCACGACTAAATCGTGTGGTTTAAAAGAATTTAAAATAGGCTTGCAGATGCATTCATTACATTAAGAATATCTCGCGTCTCTGCCAATAGCATTAAATTCGCAGGAATTCCGCTTTATAAAGATTTCCCCCCTATAAGACATGCAAAACCGTTCCGTTTCTGCGTTGTACATATTCCGTTTTATGCTGTGTAATATCCCCATTTTATGATGTGAGTGCTTAGAGCCAGATGAACAGACTCATTGTTGATTGTTGTCTAAATTGTAAATTTCCATTAGAGAGTGAAAGAGAGAAAGAGTGAAAGAATGGTGAAAGAGAAAAAGAGAGTGAAAGAGAAAAGGAGAGTGAAAGAGAAAAGGAGAGTGAAAGAGAAAAGGAGAGTGAAAGAAAAAGAGAGTGAAAGAAAAAAGGAGTGAAAGAGAAAAGGAGAGTGAAAGAAAAAAGGACAGTGAAAGAAAAAGAGAGTGAAAGAAAAAAGGACAGTGAAAGAAAAAGAGAGTGAAAGAGAAAGAGTGAAAGAGAAAGAGAGTGAAAGAGAAGGAAAGTGAAAGAGAAGGAAAGTGAAAGAGAAGGAAAGTGAAAGAGAAGGAAAGTGAAAGAGAAAGAGAGTGAAAGAGAAGTAGAGTGAAAGAGAAGTAGAGTGAAAGAGAAGTAGAGTGAAAGAGAAAGAGAGTGAAAGAGAAGGAGAGTGAAAGAG